TGGAATGTTAATAACTGTACAAAATCAATCCTAATTGCTACTTTACTAATCTTGTTCAATCATGCTCCTTGACCTAATCTCCTATGATCAGCCCAATTATTCCTAATATTCAGTATGATTGATACCGAATATCTCCTCTTTGAACAGTTACTACGACTGGAGATAAGTGGCGCACGGTCAACAAAGCCACAATCCGTTGGCGCCGTGGGGAACTCGAATTCAGCGCCCTTACCGGCCCCAAAATCAAGCCTCGGAGGTGATAGAGTGGAAAGGCCGAGGAATGAGTTCCCATTCAAGAAGCTATCGGATTCGGAATTGCAAGAGAAAAGGAACCGAGGCTTATGTTTTCACTGCATGAAAAGTTCACTTTGGGTCACCGATGCAAGAAAAAGGAGTTGCAAATCATGTTGGTAAGTGATGATGATGAATTGGCGTTACGAGATTTGGAGTTGGGAGACATGGGAGAAGAACCGGAGGAGTTGCTCCGACCGGAAGTAATTAAGTTGTCATTAAATTCGGTCGTAGGTCTCACTACTCCTAGGACTATGAAGATCAAAGGGGAAATCGGCCAACGAGAGGTAATTGTTCTCATTGACTCAGGTGCAACTCATAATTTCATTTCTTTGGCATTGGTTCATGAGTTGGCTTTACCGATCACTCCTACCACCGGTTTTGGGGTGCAAATTGGAATAGGAGAATCGGTGCAAGGGCAAGGATTATGCAAAGAAGTAGTGCTGAATATGCAACAATTGACAATCATTGAAAATTTCCTACCATTGGAATTAGGGGCAATAGATGTGATCTTGGGGATGCAATGATTGGAGACTTTGGGTAGTATGCAAGTTAATTGGCAGATGCAAGTAATGAAATTCAAGGTGCGGGGGGCCGGGGTTATTTTGAAAGGTGATGCTAGCCTTACTAGAACGATGATTTCTCTTAAGGCCATGTTACGAACAATTAGACATGAAGGGAATGGCATATACTTGGAATTGAGCTCTCTAAGCGTGGAGGGAAGTGGCAGTGGGCTAGACATTGCCAATGAGCCGCTTCAAGCTCTCTTACACAAGCATTCTGCCGCCCTCAACATGCCCGCTGGGTTACCTCCGCACCGTGTAAGAGATCACCGCATCATTCTCCAAGAAGGAACGGCCCCTATTAGTGTTAGACCTAACAAATACCCTCATTTTCAAAAGAGTGAGATAGAGAAGTTGGTGAAGAAATGTTGGCTACCGGTATTATCCAACCAAGTACAAGCCCATTCTCAAGTTTAGTTTTGTTGGTTACAAAGAAAGATGGAAGTTGGCGCTTCTGCGTTGACTATTGAGCTTTAAACAAGGCTACTGTTCCCGACAAATTTTCTATTCCGGTGATTGAAGAGCTCTTAGATGAATTGTGTGGCGCCACAATTTTTACCAAGTTGGATTTGAAATCCGGTTATCACCAAATCCGGATGAGTGATGAAGATGTTCCAAAACCGCTTTTCGCACTTCCGAAGGCCACTATGAGTTTCTTGTCATGCCATTTAGGTTGATAAACGCGCCGACGACTTTTCAAGCGTTGATGAATGAGGTCTTAAAGCCATTTCTGAGAGAACTTGTGCTTGTTTTATTTGATGATATCTTGATCTACAGTGATTCGTGGGAGGCTCATTTGGTCCACTTGGATAAGGTTCTTACAGTTTTGGAAACTAATCAATTGTATGTCAATCAAAAGAAATGTATTTTTGCACAAACTCGATTAGAGTATCTAGGACATATTGTCTCTAAAGAGGGAGTTTCGGCTGACCCAAGCAAGATTGTAGCAATGTTGGATTGGCCAACTCCTAGGTCTATCAAGGATCTGAGGGGCTTTTTGGGCCTTACCGGCTATTACCGTCGCTTTGTGGAGGGGTATGTATGGCCACATATCTTGGTCACTGACGCAGAAACTGAAGCGAGACTGTTTCCATTGGAATGCTGAAGCTGAATTTGCCTTTCAACAGTTGAAGCGTGCCATGACTCAGGTACCTGTGCTCGCCTTACCAGATTTTACTCAACCTTTTGTCGTGGAATCAGATGCGTCGGGATTCGGCATTGCCGCGGTGTTGATGCAAAACCAGCAGCCTAGCACTTACTTCAGTCAAGTTCTCTCTTTTCGAGCTCGCACCAAGTCCGTTTATGAAAGAGAACTTATGGCCATAGTGTTGGATGCCCAGAAATGGCCCCACTATTTACTTGGACGGCGTTTTGTGGTGCGTACTGATCAGAAAAATTTGAAATTCCCGCTAGAACAATGTTTAGTAAGTGCGGAGCACCAAAAGTGGTTATGCCAGTTGTTGAGTTATGACTTTGAAATTCAATATAAACCGGGGGTTGAGAACAAGGCTGGCGATGCTCTCCCTCAGCAACACACTGGACTCGAATTGATGGTGCTGACTTCACCAGTGGTCCTTGATATTGCTGACTTACACCAACAGGTATTGGCGGATCCGCACCTTGCTAAAATCAGGGTTGAGTTGGTTCGCAGGGCTGCATCTTGGAAGGGTTACACACTGCATTACGAACAACTCCTTTTCAAAGGGCGTTTGGTTCTTTCGCAACATTCTCTGCTTAGTTCCACTTTGTTACTTGAGTTCCATGGCAGTAAAATTGGTGGACATTCAGGGACCCTTAAAACATACAAGCGGTTGGCTCGGGAATTCTTTTGGAAGGGGATGCGTTGTGATGTGGATGCTTTTGTGGTGGCTTGTGTTGTTTGCCAACAAAACAAGTCGTCTACTCTATCTCTTGGGGGCTTATTGCAGCCAATCCCTATTCCCGATCGCGTTTGGGAAGACATCTCCATGGACTTCATAGGACTTCCTAAATCGGAGGGTTACGATTCAATCTTGGTGGTGGTTGACCGCCTTAGCAAGTATGCGCACTTCTTGGGTCTCAAGCGTCCTTTCTCTGCCAAGTCAGTGGCTACTCTCTTTGTTAGGGAGGTTGTCCGCCTTAATGGGTTTCCGCGGAGTATTATCTCGGACCGAGATCGTATCTTTCTTAACCACTTTTGGACCGAGCTTTTCAAGTTACATGGGACTTCTTTATGTCGCAGTGCATCCTATCATCCACAATCGGATGGTTAAACCGAGGTTGTCAATCAATGTTTGAAGGCTTATTTGTGTTGTTTTGTGTCTGGCACTCCGTTGTTTGTGGTTTTGCAATGGTTTCACCACCTCACTTGGGTTGAGTTTTGGTATAATACCAGCTTTCATGTCTCTGCTGCTATGACTCCTTTCAAGGCTCTTTATGGGCGGGATCCCCCTCCATTAGTTCCGTATGTTCCGGGTTCCATGGCAACTTCTGATTTGGACCAGCAGTTGTGTGCTTGGGATGCCCTGTTGGTTGAGTTGAAGGATTACTTGAGCCGTGCTCAGCATTCCATGTGGGCGCATGCCAATACAAAACGTCAGGGTTTGTCCTTTGAGGTGGGTGATACAGTCTATTTGAAGTTGTAGCCCTACTATCATCGTTCGCTTGCCAGGGTTGTTAATGAAAAACTTTCACTCCGGTATTATGGCCCTTTTTCTGTCGTCGCCCGTGTTGGTTCAGTGGCTTATCGTTTGCAACTCCCTCCTGATGCTAAACTTCATCGGGCCTTACTGGCTATTACCGTCGCTTTGTGGAGGGGTATGGCCACATATCTTGGCCACTGACGCAGAAACTGAAGCGAGACTGTTTCCATTGGAATGCTGAAGCTGAATTTGCCTTTCAACAGTTGAAGCGTGCCATGACTCAGGTACCTGTGCTCGCCTTACCAGATTTTACTCAACCTTTTGTCGTGGAATCAGATGCGTCGGGATTCGGCATTGCCGCGGTGTTGATGCAAAACCAGCAGCCTAGCACTTACTTCAGTCAAGTTCTCTCTTTTCGAGCTCGCACGAAGTCCGTTTATGAAAGAGAACTTATGGCCATAGTGTTGGATGTCCAGAAATGGCCCCACTATTTACTTGGACGGCGTTTTGTGGTGCGTACTGATCAGAAAAATTTGAAATTCCCGCTGGAACAATGTTTAGTAAGTGCGGAGCACCAAAAGTGGTTATGCCAGTTGTTGAGTTATGACTTTGAAATTCAATATAAACCGGGGGTTGAGAACAAGGCTGGCGTCTTCCTCGGCAACACACTGGACTCGAATTGATGGTGCTGACTTCACCAGTGGTCCTTGATATTGCTGACTTACACCAACAGGTATTGGCGGATCCGCACCTTGCTAAAATCAGGGTTGAGTTGGTTCGCAGGGCTGCATCTTGGAAGGGTTACACACTGCATTACGAACAACTCCTTTTCAAAGGGCGTTTGGTTCTTTCGCAACATTCTCTGCTTAGTTCCACTTTGTTACTTGAGTTCCATGGCAGTAAAATTGGTGGACATTCAGGGACCCTTAAAACATACAAGCGGTTGGCTCGGGAATTCTTTTGGAAGGGGATGCGTTGTGATGTGGATGCTTTTGTGGTGGCTTGTGTTGTTTGCCAACAAAACAAGTCGTCTACTCTATCTCTTGGGGGCTTATTGCAGCCAATCCCTATTCCCGATCGCGTTTGGGAAGACATCTCCATGGACTTCATAGGACTTCCTAAAGCGGAGGGTTACGATTCAATATTGGTGGTGGTTGACCGCCTTAGCAAGTATGCGCACTTCTTGGGCCTCAAGCGTCCTTTCTCTGCCAAGTCGGTGGCTACTCTCTTTGTTAGGGAGGTTGTCCGCCTTAATGGGTTTCCGCGGAGTATTATCTCGGACCGAGATCGTATCTTTCTTAACCACTTTTGGACCGAGCTTTTCAAGTTACATGGGACTTCTTTATGTCGCAGTGCATCCTATCATCCACAATCGGATGGTTAAACCGAGGTTGTCAATCAATGTTTGAAGGCTTATTTGTGTTGTTTTGTGTCTGGCACTCCGTTGTTTGTGGTTTTGCAATGGTTTCACCACCTCACTTGGGTTGAGTTTTGGTATAATACCAGCTTTCATGTCTCTGCTGCTATGACTCCTTTCAAGGCTCTTTATGGGCGGGATCCCCCTCCATTAGTTCCGTATGTTCCGGGTTCCATGGCAACTTCTGATTTGGACCAGCAGTTGTGTGCTTGGGATGCCCTGTTGGTTGAGTTGAAGGATTACTTGAGCCGTGCTCAGCATTCCATGTGGGCGCATGCCAATACAAAACGTCAGGGTTTGTCCTTTGAGGTGGGTGATACAGTCTATTTGAAGTTGTAGCCATACTGTCATCGTTCGCTCGCCAGGGTTGTTAATGAAAAACTTTCACTCCGGTATTATGGCCCTTTTTCTGTCGTCGCCCGTGTTGGTTCAGTGGCTTATCGTTTGCAACTCCCTCCTGATGCTAAACTTCATCATGTCTTCCCTGTCTCTCGGTTGAAGAAGGCTATTGGTCCTACCGAGATTTCTCAATCCCTTCCCCCACTTCTTTATGAGGATTTTACTTTGTAGGTGGAACCAGAGCAGGTTGTGGATGCTCACTATTCTCCATCCACGGGGCACTTGGAGGTTCTCATTAAATGGCGTCATTTACCGGACTTCGAAGCTTCTTGGGAGCTCTTTGATGTCATTCAGCAGCAGTTTCCAGTCTTCCACCTTGAGGACAATGTGACAATTTTTTTTTTGGGGGGGGGGGGGGTAGGCAGGTATACATTAGAAAGAATAAGAAGAATTAGAAAGCTTGTTAGGAAAGATTGTTTCAAAAGCTTGTTAGGAAAGATTGCTTCAAAGCTTGTTAGTTTCTAGTTAGTGAGAGGAAGAAAAGTGAATAAAAGGGATGATGGGGGGGAACAGAGAGAAGAGGAAAAAGTTTAGTTTCTATTTGGGAAAATCTTGGAGCTAATTCCAAGTGGGGAGGTTGTGGACCCTCGAAGTTCCACATTCCATTTGTATTATTCTACGAATATCAATAAAATCTCACTCAATTTCCATCTTTTCTCTATCTTTCCTACCGATTGACATTGAAACTTCCTAGGATCTATCACAGCCATCACTCAGCTCTAGTGACTAATCTTTTATGGTGTATGAGCTTTTTGCTACGTTTAAGATTTCATGCAAAACTCAATTACTAGCTTAACATTCAAAAGAATGGCCCTGTGCATTAAATCTTAGTAATACAAATAAACTTTGCTCAATTTTGACGGCCAATACTCTGTCCTTTCTTTTTGCTATTCTTGATTTTTTTTTTTCCAAAAGTTATGTTCCTTATTGGTGAATGATAGTCTCATAACCAGTAGATAACTGCTTTCAGGTTATTATAGCAATAATTCCGCTTTAATCTTTTCGTCTTATTTATTTTCAGTATGGGCAAAAGAGCTATCCGTTGCGTCCAGAGTTAATTGAGAGCACTTATTGGCTCTATAAAGCTACTAGAGATCCCAGGTTAGTGCAGCATCACTTCTAATTACTAATCACTGGTCTTTGATTTGCACTATTTTTACGTTTTTGTCCCTTTTCTCATGGAGGCATTTGACCATGTGTCATTCTGTTGGATATGACTATATTCTCTCTTTTTCCATTTTTTTTCACACACAAGCCTAATGAGGCCAAGAGATTTTGGAGCGTTATTTTGGGTAACTATTGTAGATTGCATGTTATATATAACAAGGCATTACCTTCTTTGTAGATATCTTGATGTGGGGCGGGACATGGTGGCCAGCTTGCAATACAGTGCGCGATGTCCTTGCGGATATTGTCACATATCAGATGTAGAGTTTCACAAGCAAGAAGACCACATGGAGAGCTTTTTCCTAGCGGAAACTGTAAGAACTTTATACGAACCAGTCAATCTTTCATTTGACATATTTATTATTATGATTTCTCTTTGTGGCTACTTTTTCTTTGAATTTACTAGTTGAGCAAATCTCTCAAGTGTCTTGGCGGGGAGACCTAGGAGAACAAATAAATATCTTCCTTAGATGTTCGTGTCAAGTTCTTCCTTTATAATATGCTTCGTACAATGATGAATAAGATTTTTGGAAGATGGAAAACTATGATTATGATGGTTCGGAAGTTCTTTCTTTTGGTGGATTTCAATGATTTCAAGAATTATGAGGCTAGTCAAACTTACTTTTTAAGCTTACTTCCTGTGACATACCTTAGTGTTTACTGCTGGTCGCAGAAAGGTCCTACTATGGGACAACATTAAATTGCGCAGTAAATTTTAATTTAGGGCCTCAAAAGAGAATTCTTGTTCTCTTAATATCTCTGGCATCAAGGGATGTTAGTAAACATCATCTTTACCGCCCTTCCTAAAGATGGTCCATGTTTTTAAATTTCTAGTTTATGCTCCATCTTTTACATTCTACACTCATGTCATTAACGAGTCACTGAATTTAGGTGAAATATCTGTGGCTTCTCTTTGATTTGGCCGTTGGTCCTGATAACCTCGTTGAAAATGGGCCTTACAAGTATGTTCTTTTTGCTCTAACCTTTATGCTTGATGGAGAGTTTATTTGATGAAGATGAGCTAACCCTTTTTTTTTTTTTTTCACTCTTTGCTGCTGTAATTCTCTTTACAGGTACATCTTTAGCACTGAAGGCCACATACTGCCGTTAACCCCACAAATATCTCTAGTGCGTGAACATTGTTCTTATTTTGGGGCCTATTGTAGAAGTGGTGCTGTTAAACAGGAACGTCATGGAAGCCATCTTCAAGAAACCAATGACAGTAGGTCATTTGGAAGCTGGGCTCACGGTGGATTGCAATCAGAAAGTAGTTTCTCTGATTCAATTCCCATATCAGGTTTTATAAAGGTCGGTACTTTTTCTTTCCCCTTCTCGTCGTTTTCAAGATTTAGAAAAGCGGTTCTTATCAACTTTAGTATATTTAGGGACTCGAATAGTCTTAGAATTAACTATCTTTTGATGTTCCAACTTCCATGCACCACTCGGTAAAATACTGATCTAAACAGATGAGGATACTTTTAAAGGAATTGGATAAGTGATAAAATTATGGAGATGTAAATAAAAGTGGGGCTGTGTTCAGTGATCAGAGAAGAATCAGGATAGTTGTGGTTGTTTGCTTTATTTCGCCATAAAGTAAGGTTGTGTTTAGTCATTTTCTGGGCTTATTTAGTGTACAGGTTGTACTTCGTTTTTGTGAATGAAACTTCTCATGCATTGAAAGGACAAAAGGATTTCCCAAATCCATGTGCAGTATTAAATGATTGATTTTTTTGGCTAATAGAAAATATCTTGTCTGCCTGGCAGGGTTATTGCCCGGGACTATATCATGGACAAAAATTTGGCATAACATATGTGACCTCGGCAGATACACAAAAGAATGTGCCTACAAACGAGAGAGAACAAACTGTTGCTCGGAGCCTTTCTTCTATCGTTGTTCCTGATCAAAATTCTGATTATTTACTGTCCAGGAACCAGAAATATCATGACAGTTTTCAGGACTTGGATGAGAGAGGACCAAAGAGTGGCCTCCCTCAAGAATGACAAAGGCATCTATGTTTGCTAAACGTTGTCAAATTTTCCAAGAATGGTTGAAAGGAAACTAAGCAATCATCTGGATTTCAGGCCTTCTAACGCTGTCTAAATTCTTCTGCCACAATATCATTGACAAATAAAGGTGATTACAGAAGGGTCTGATTTTACACCGGTCTTGGCCGTGGACTGATCGCCTAAAAAGTAGGTGATGTTCGCTTTGGAAATGTAATTTTTGATCATTGGTTTGAACAATTCAAGATTGAATGAGTGTGGAAATAAAAAGGGGAAAGGCAAGGGTCTGAGTCTGACTGACATCTTGCTAGATTTACCGCCCCACATTCCCGACATTCGGTTACCCTTGTAGCTCTGGCATACTTCAGCAGCATGCATTTACACATTTTTCCCCTTTTTCAGAGATGGAAAGTGAGGTTGTCATCTTAGAGATACCTTCGAAGATACCTGCAGAACATCCCAAAGTGACGATTAACATTTAACTTTTCCATTTTTTTCATTTAAGTTACTGCCCTTACATTGATAGATATAACCAAAAGCTGAGACAGAAATGCTTTAGCTGAAACAAGCCAGATGGATTCATCTCTGATTTATTTTGTTGGTAAAAAGCCTATCGATTGAAGAGATTGAGTATATCTCTTGATTTCCCAAACTATGAGAAAGAACATTGTTCTTTTTTTTTTTGAATTGGTGGGCATGGTTACCTCAATTACTTTGATTTATCATATACTGGTCCTTCGGTGATGCAAGTATCATAGTCAGATAAACGGTTTCACAACTACACTGATTTCCGAGCTACAAAAAACAAATCATTTGGGTCTTTCTGACTTTCAAAGATGTTATTCTGCAATACATCCCCTGTTTTTCAGTTATTGGATGATGGGAAAAAAAAAAAAAAAACCAACAATTTGAGCCATTGGAAAAATCTGTCAACTTCCTTCGAGAAAAGCTAAAAAGTTTTGTCGGTGAGATCTTTTTTAAGCCTCATCTAGCGGCTGAGATTCGGGATGTAAATACATTCCATTTGTATTGTAGTTTTGTGTGGCTGTGGATTTGACAAGGATGAGTCGTGAGTTGTACAGAAAACAAGAGAAATTTTGGGAACAATAACGGCATGCCACACATGTTAACATTACGACAACACAAGATCAATGAAATTCAAAGAACTTAGAACCCATTTGTTTTACGGATTTAACTATTTTATCCACAACGTTTGTGCTTATAAAAAATTTGAATTTCTGTTCAAACTGTCCGAACCTAAATCTTAATCGCAATTCTTTGTGTAGTTTTTGACGTAGGAAGTAATATCAATCCAGTGAATACAAGATTGGATGTCAGATTTGTTAGTGCCATAAGACAGTCTAGAGAACACTATCAATTGAACTACCTTACACTTATATCCATGTTCTGTACAAGCACAATATAACATTTCTTTATCCAACGAAGCTAGTTGAATGCTAGGAGTTAAATAATTGCAGTGTTCGAAATTGTTCTTATTTTTATTTTTCACGTTTTTTGAGAACGAAAAAATGAAAACGATTCTAAATCGGCGTTTGTCACAATTAAAGACAAAAAAAGAAATGAAAACGATTTTTTGATTTAGTATAAAATGAGAGAGAAATGAAAAACGACTTTTAGTCGTTTTTCATTTTTTATTTTCGTTTTCTCGTCTCACGAGCAGAGAGACACATTAATGAGTTTTTTTATACTGAAAACAATCTCTTGATAAAACTACCAAACGCATTTTCAAAAATGATTTATGTTTGAGATTGAAAATGTTTTTATTTTCATTTTCATGCAAAAAATAAAATCATTTTAGAACGAGTTCCAAACGCACTCAATATTTCTTATTTTCAAAACTGTTAGATTCATACCTTAAGCTTGACAAAGTGAGTTATGAGATTATGTAGCAGCTACATTAGTTGTCATCACCTAATCACATTGTACAAGTCTTGGGCCATCAAGCTTAAGTTTGATTCCTTAGAGATTTGATTAGTATATCGTATCTTGATCTCTTTACCAAATCCCAAGTTAGTGGGACCCACAAAACTGGTTAATATTCTGTTACATCCGTATAGATTTGTGTCACTATCTCAAGATCTTGTACTCACATGGATAAAGAATATAAGATCCCCCATTATCTTGTAAAACTACTTGTGCATCTCAAAGTAGTGCTTAGCAACTTGTTCTAATTAGTTTTACATAGTAAACCGAATTAATGTGCGACTAAAATCTCAACTTTTTTAAGATTTTGGTTTGCCGCTAAGAGACTTTACCAACCGATGAACAACCGATTTTCACGATTGGTGATCTTGTAGTGCTGACTTTTGCTATGAAAGAAGACCTCCTAACTACTGTTGTGGTGCTAATGGGTAAACTGCCAGAGCATTTCCAAGGACACCCAAGGACCACCACCAACATGCGGTGTTACCTGCTCAGGAAACACCTTACCATTTTGCAACGAGTGGTATGGCTAGATGCCAAGTCTCCACCTGATTTTGCTGAATTAGGTTTCAGCAACATATGATCATGGTTGTGATTTCTCCTCTGTCATGAAGTATGGTTTTGGTCCGTCGCATATGACTTGTCGCGCTACTATTGCTGGAACATTCTATCGGTTTAATGTTGAATTAGATAGCATTTGTCCCTTAGTCAACATAAAGGTTTAGACCAACCCCATTGAGGTTTTCCAATTGTATTGTCATCAGATTCACCAAATTAGTGACCGAAAAATAATCACCATTATTGAGTGCGCATTGCAGTTCATCACCAATAGTGACAATCACAAGATGTAAAATTGTATGGAACCCACATTCTATTAGTAGGAAGATCATCATAGTTAGTTATGAATATCAGGTCCTCCGAATAATTTCTGTTCTAAAAACATGCTTTAATATATACAAATCTAACTGTTAAAAAACTAATCTAGTAATTAAAAATTAATAGTTAAAAACAACAATTCTTATGGGTGGAGTGAAACAGCATTCTCTACCATAAAGATTTCTAAATTATTAAAGCTCAGACTAAACGGATATTATATTCCAGAAGACATTATTTCACAAAGCAGTAGAGACTACCATTTTCTCATACCGACAGGCGACAAGTCAATGAAGAAAGACTCACTAGAGTCAAGTCGCGGAATCATGTCAGATCTTGTTTCTTGAACTTTTCTTTATTTGTCACACCAAAAGACATATGGGAAAAGAGAAGATAGTGTCAATATTTGATTATGATATAAAGGAGGCAGATTTTCCAACTTCTGTTGTGGTTAAGCAATAGGTTGTTTAATAATTGGAAACTCATGAATTTAATTGCATTTTTTAATCACATGGGCACTAATATTTCTATTCATTTTCTGTGAAGAAATAAAAGAGTAAATAAGGAGCATTGAAAGTGTTACATTAAAATATAATTTGTAGTACATCGATAAAGATAAATTGAATCCTATGTACTTAGGAACAAATAGTGGTCAGATTTGCAATTTGCTTTGTTTGGGACTGTAGGGTTAGCAACTTGTTACCTTTTGCGTATAGAATATTAGTCAAATAAATGTTTACAAAGTCCCAAAAATTTCCTCATTTCTCGATGAGATTTTACAAGAAAAAAAGAATTAGATTTAATGGTATTGACAGCCATTAACGTGCCAACTTGTGTATTAATTATAGCTAAGCATATCCTAAAAAATGTTAAAAGGAAATCGGCCAAGTTAGTACAATTAGAATAAAAACGAATAACAAAAGCAAGTTAACAATATTGTTCTCCAAGCACATGTAACAATGAAATGGTGACCACAACACTCTTGAAACAACTTTCTCTCTCATGTGCATTTTTCTGGTGAATTCACTATTTCCAATATTATTAACTTTTCTTGCTTATATGTTGTGTTAAAGGAAGCATCTAAGAATGGAAAAAAGACGTTTATCTTTCACAAGTTTGAAGACTTCAAAAAACTGAGCAGGAAAATCACCAATCCAACTCTTGAACTTGAAGTTCACGTTTTATGAACATACATACTGATAAGTTCATCACTTTCTGTACTAAGGGATAAACAAACAAGAGCTTTCAAAAATGTTATTCAGTTATCTTTTATTAGTTTTTTGCACTTTAGCCCTCTCTTCGGCAAATTTTTAGTCCACGATCTTATATTATTACAAATAGAAGTTAAAGGTATAACATGATATTTATATGTAACAGTAGCATTTAATATGCATAACAACAATGTTATAAAGATTTGAGTCTAAAAAATTTGCCTTATTCTTTTCACAACTCAAGTTCTATTGTTATTGTGTTTTCTCTCACAAAAGGTTAAATTTAACTTTTTTACTATAATATTTTTCTCTCACATGTATAATTTAAGTTCTTAACTTAAATTGTAAAATAAACATTTATCTCATATCAGTATTACATCTGTATAACGTCATTGTTGTATATAATAAATGTATTTCACTACACCTACTACTTCTACATGTTATAATGTCGGGCGGTACCCAAGACAACACTAAATTAATTATACATAACAATTCCTAAGAATAATAATAATTTTTCTTAGATCCATCATATACGGAATATGGTCAAAATCAACATTATTGCAGTGCTCTGGTGAAACAATTTTTTTTTCCTCTTATAATTCCTTAATTTCCTTTGTTATTAAAACCAAATGTGGTTATCACCCCGGGTGGAGGTTCTCCAAAGTGAAAGGTAGATTAATAAAGTTCCTGAGGAAAATTGGTTAACTTGTAATTTAAGATCTCTATATGATAATTAATATGATTGAGAGTGATTTATAATAATCTCTCTCTCTCTCTCTCTCTCTCTCTCTCTCTCTCTCTCTCTCTCTCTCTCGCGGAGCTTAAGACAAAGACGGCTTAATAAGCGTTTTTCTCAAGCCTTTTTAATGATTTTGCTATCAACATCCAGATCTTGAATGTTTCAACATGAACTTTACAATCTTTTTTCTCAACCAATATCACATCAATGCTAACTTAGCTCGTGAGGAAAAAAAAAAAAAAAAAACAACAACAACAACTAGTACAGAACAGATATAGACAAAACTCATTTTACTAACTTAATTCTTTAAAAGCATAGTTTGGTATATACGATTACAATTGCACAACAAAGATACACGTCCAAAAACTTGAAAAATGAAATATTGTTATTTTCCTCTCTCTCTCTCTCTCTCCCTCTCTCTCTCTTTTTCTCACACACTCTCTCTCTCTCTCTCTCTCTCTCTCTCTCTCTCTTTTAATTCCTTTTTATACAATCCCGTTTCAAAGGGTGTGTGATCTTATGCAATTTCCATCCGTTTGATAGGATCATGACTGGAAACAAGATCTTGATTTTCATCACTTGATCATGTGCAAATAACAACACATCTTTTACTCGTCAAACTTTTTACCCCCTTAAAAGAAGCTGTAACATCACTAAGACTTTTTCCCTGCTTTTTGTCTACACATTTTAGTCCCCCCTTTTCTTTTTTTTTTTTTTTTCCTTCTCTTGGAGAACCCAAGCTATGAAATGATATTTTTCTCTTTGACCACCCAAAAAACAAAAAAATTATGTTTTTCTTGATCTCCTGCTCTTTTGGGTTTCCCTTTGCTTTTTGTGGGGTGGTTTTCATACACCCCAGCCCAAGCCTCTTGCTTCTGATTCTCTCATGATTCTTAGTCTCTTGCATGATGACATGAACATACTGAAACAAACATGAAACAAAAGATTATAAGCACATGAAATTAAACAATTGATAAGACACTGGATAATTCTTTGATAAGGTCACGACACAGTTTTAAACCGCTAGATTTTTATCAAATTCTGTTAATTTATCACATCGACATATGATCTGGCGATTCAAAATTGTATCTTATCGACGTATTTCTCTAAGAGATAAGAAAAATAGAGATAAGATAACTTACTCCCATGGAACATCTCCAACAAGCATCCAGTCACCATCTTTGTCCTCATAAGTTGGCACATAGTCAGATCCCTTATAGCCTTCTCTCTCAGAATACTCACCTATTAAAAGAAAACAAGGCAAAAAAACATAATCAGTATTGATAAACAAAAAAAGGGTGATTAATTAATATATATATACAATATGTATATATGTATAAATATACATACCAACTGTGAACTTGAACATGTTTTCCAAGGCCTTTAAAAGCTCAGGGTAGTTTTTGTAAACCCTAAGATCAATCTTTCTAAGATAAGGAGCTCCATCCATGCTGACTTTGACAAACATCCCAGAAATCTCAGCAGCCTCACTTTTCTTCATCTGCTGAAGGCTGTTCTTCCTGTATGACCTGATTGGTGGCCACCCCACAATCTGTGCTCTGCCATAATCATACACATGCATATATACAATTAATATCACTATATATATATCACATATATTATGAAAACTTATATATATATATGTATGTGTGTGTGTGTATTATATACGTTGTATATGCACTTACTTGGCAGGAGGAGCAGTTTCTTCTCCGTCATGATCAGATTTCTCTTCTCTAGTGATCTCCGGAGAATGTCGTTTTCTGTTTTTGAGAGCTGAAGAAGAAAGTGATGATTGGTCTTGATGATGATCCTCGTTGGTTTCTTCTTCTGTTCCTGGCAAACCCAATCTCAGCTCCGTTGCCTTGAGGTTGATCATCAGATCATCTTTCTCATAAGCCATTCCACTTTCCATTTCTTCCTCTTCAGATAATTCACTCCAAAAGATAATATGTGTAGTGAACAAACAAAACTTCTTCTTCTTCTTCTTCTTCTTGTTTCTTGTTCAAGATTGGTGCTTTTTGTAAATATAATAACAAGGCAGGTTCTTGAAAGTTTCTTATAATAAGCGTTGTGTTGGGAAGGTGGGAATGCAAGGTTTGTATTTTATAGTTATATATATTTATATATATATGTAAATATATGTGTGTGTGTATATATATATATATATAAAATAAATGGTGGGTGATATATTATAATAAAGAGGGGTTTATGAGTTGTTAAGTGTTATATTCTATCTTCTTCTTGTTGTTATTTCAAAGGGAATGCATGAATTATGGACAAAGGCAAGCTCAGGTGTCGGCTGCAATAGCAGCACCTTTGAGGCGACTTGCCTCTCTCAATGGGGGACAAGAATGGGACAAGCTCAGCCGCCCATATGGAAGACTTGATTGGACGGCCCTGATCACTTCTGGGGCTTCGTGGGGAGCAAATCACCACCCTTGGCTCTAAGCATGCCCATGTGAAAATTGGGTCCCACATTGGGCGTTGGGTATGGGCAAGGCATGGTCATGTGGGGACTCAATTTGGTGCAGATTTTTTTTTTTTTTTTTTTTTTTGAAATACCTTTAGAATTGGTTTTTTATTTTATTTTATTTTAAAAAATATATGACATATTTTGGCATTGTGGGGTACATGACCATGTGTTAGGGCATGTGTACATATGGTCAAGCACCCTGAATCCCAGATTTTTTTAATTTTTTTTTAATTTTTTGTGCACATATATTTTCTAATTTTTAGTTCAAAATTACATGAGTGACGTGCTATTCAATCTGAATATCTGCATTCTGCAGAAAGCAAGTTGTTTGACAATTTCTATGAGGAGATCACCTATATACTTGACTATTTGATTTCATTTTTTTGTAACTTGGGAATGAAAACAAAAATATACTTCTTTACAATAAGAACACTTCACCATAGTTCCTCTTTTCGCTTTGAATAAGCTAATATACTTCCATTCTTATATATATAAAAAAAAAGTCAATATATTACTTTTCAATAATCCATGTTGAAAAGTTCTATTATGTACCTTGTTAATAGAGAATGCTATGATAAAATATGAAAAATATGCTATTGATCATAGAACAAAGTTATAGACCACCAAGTTCAATTAAATTTCATCATCATATTTTTCTTAAAAAAATGATATGATTTATTTAACTTACAGCTTAAAATCGTGTCCAAATAAAGTATTTTCTTTTTCAAACCCTGCAACGTACATGATTCGGCTTTATCAATATACCACTTGTTTGAAGCTAAAAACTTCTTAGTTGAGTGTGTGTATATGTATGTATATGTGTGTGTGTGTGTGTGTGTGTGTGTGTGTGTATTTACATTTAGCTTTCTGTTGGTAGGAGAATCATTGAATTTTGATCCTTTGACACGTATCTTAATAGTTTTAATGGCTTTTCGTTAACCCTTAAAGACGTGCATTAATATATATATATATTATTTTTTTTTTTTTTTGAACTTGCAGGGGGATAGGTGTATTGGAGAAGAATGTGCTTCTTTTAGTTAGAATTAGATTCATTGTGCTTGTTTTCTCTCAATTACTTTGTTTCTTTCTCGATTTCAGACGAACATTTACAGTCTTTCTATGGCCGAGATAGAGATCCGTGATAAACATGCAATTGTGCAACTTTTTTCCTTCTTTCGCAAGTAGCCCTCTATAGCTAAACAGTATGAACATCAACATGTTGGAATCAAATTCGTGAATGGTCTTTTCTCAGATTCTATTCTGTAAAGTATACATTAAGTACGAAAACAAAATAAGAAACACAATTAAAACCAAAAAAAAAAAAAAATGAAGTAAAAAACCAATGATTCCTAAATCCATTCTAGAGCTACTAGCTATATATTTAGAGAATTAACACTTTTACATTTTCTTTGATCGATTTACATATATTCTTTGAGACTAATAGTCATTACGTTATTTTGGATACTAAGTAACCTAACAGTTGACCGGTCAATTTCCTAATCTAATTATACAAAACATTTGTTTATTAATTTAGTCAATTATACCCTAACGAGTCAATTACTGCCGCATTACTGTCTATTTAACAAAACCCTAGTCTTTCCACTATATACAGTGAGGATCTACTGGGGAAGAAAAAGAAAAACAGAGAGAGAGATAATGGAAAAGGTTGAAGGAGAAACTATATGAACAGTAATTTTTGGCTCAAAATTTAGCTTTATATGTAGCTAGCATTAGCAAAAAAGCAAAAATAATAATAATAAAAAAAGGATAAACGATTATATTGAGACTTTCTTAGGGCACAATAACATGGAAATGCCTACTTGTGTGCCCTCACGGGCAGAGTCCCACCATGTCCAATGGTCTGAACCATCATGCATATATAACAGTCATTCTAAGCTGTGCAATCTACAAATTCATTGACATTTGGGGTCCATTCCTGCGGCACCCGTGCGCATTAAAAAGTAGGTCAACAATTATCATCATCATCATCATTATGTTTTAGTGCATGCATGATGTTGCTCATCATATATATGATACATGCACATATAGGGGTAAAAAAAAATTTCTTGGGAAAAATTAAAAACGACGATAGGATATTTTAATCAACTTAACGCTTGGTTGAATATTTGTATAATTGCTATAATAAGATATTGTTATTCTTGATAGTACCTAAGCACACGAGTATCATACCTTCATTAAGAGAACACTTGGGAAATGTTACACCTAATATAAAAAGGGTTAAAACATACCCCTTAGCAGAAAAACAAATAAGAAAAAAGAAAAAAAAAAAAAAAAGAAAAAGGTCACAGAAGAGTTCTAGGGCTTTAGAACAAGCTGAGAATTATGCTCGTTTATTTTGCTGATTCGAGTTGAGATGTGATTTTATGTAAGAGTTTTTTTACTGTAGTAAAAAAGTTAGATGTGACTGTTTGTGAGAGCTTTTTACTGTAGCAAAACTCGAAGTCTAAACTCGAATAAGCGAAACGAACGAGGCATTCTTAAGTCTTGTCATCAGTGGTGGCAGCATAGCTGCAACGAACAATCATTTCATGATTTTCTCTACTATCGATATTTTATTCTCGACATCCCCACTTAAACTTACGAAATTATAAGATTATGTATATTTGACGTGCATCGACCTTCAGAGATTGTTAATGAGAGCACAGACAAATCATATATTTATGTTTTACTTGTGGTCTCAGTATTGTTTGAAAATGGTGCTAAGCGGAGACATGAGGGTACTATTAATCCCGTTGTGCGGCCTTGGGATGAAAAACTGAACACGGTTTTAGTGTACTCCAAACAATTAGATGAATTGATGGTGTGAGGTTCTCAATCTCCGGGCTTTGGCAGATTTTGGAAATTAATTATAAGTAGTTTTACATCATAAAGGACCCAAACAACTTATCGTACGGAATATTATATGTTCAATGATCTGTTTCACCTATGTTGGCTATTTCGGGTTCTTGTCATTATTGCTGGATCAAACAGGGTGAAAGCAACGTGGATAAAATCCACGCAAAGTTAGCTGAAATTTGTGGTATTTGACCGTCGAAAGGCCAGCAAAAATAGATACGCATTCAAGTCTTGATGTTTCCACTTGTGGTGCTAAAACTTGAAGCTTGGCAAGATTCAGTCCAAATGAGCTCAAAGGAAGACAGATAGAGATGCATGCACAACTAAGATTTGGTACAAAATGACTCGTCTATGTATGGAGATTATGAGATAATTTTTTTATTTTATTTTTTGAAAATTTCAAAAATATATAGTTGGCAAATGTTTGACCAAGCACTACTGTTTGACTAGCTATGTCTTCGTACAAAGATTCCAGTTCATGTTTGGTATCCAAGAAAATCGTGTGGTACGTACGTGTGGTGGTGATCATGGGTGAACTTTATTAATAGGGTTAATCTCAATAACTACCATTGGATTCTACACGAAATTTTACTTTCATGACGCTTACAAAGTTCTAAAACTAACCCTAATCTATCTTTTAGTGACAAAATTAGTGTTTTCATTAGCTATTTGTGAAAGAAAAAAAAAGACGAAAACAACACCTAAATTGTACGTGGTGCGCAATTGGATTATTGAAGCGGCTTTGTACGTAAAGGTGGCAATTCATGTTAGTGGGTCTTGTTCGTGTCAACTTATTTATTAATCATTTCAGAAAACATTAACCCAAACACGGCCTGTTTATTAAACGCATCAAAAGTGTCAACCCAAATACGACATATTTATTAATCATGTTAATTGTGTCAATCCATATAACGTGTTTAAATTAATATTAACTAATATAATAATGACTTATTTAATACGGCCAAGACGGGTTTAATTTGTTTATTAGTCAATTTATCTTTTCTTTTAAGATTTTACCTACAAATATTAAAATTCACATTATTCGTATTTAATATGTCATATATAAACTTTCATGTTATATCACATATCATTAGATTGCAGATGACACATATAGTTAATCGTGACAATTCGTGTCACTTCGTGTTAGGAGGTCAACCATAACCCAACCCATTTATTAATCGTGTTAACCCGATTATGACCCAAATCCATTTATAGTAAACTTAAACTCATTAACTTTGTGCTGGTTTTGAGTCATGTCGTCGTCTCGCTATCCGGATTGCCAGCCCTATTTGTAAGACGTTAGAACATAGCATTTAGAGAAAAAAATCATAGCATCCTCACGAGATAGAATGTACCAAGAATATCACTATACTAAATCATCCTTCAATAAGTTGTTCCTGCCTTGAAAGACATTAAAATGCTCACTTAAATAGTACATGGGTGGTACATAATCTATTTCGTCCAAAATTTAGAGCAGATGTAACAGAAGACTAATTTTGTCATACCAAATAGATCAGGATCGATTTCGCGACGTTCTAAACATTAAAGACCATAGTGAAATTTGATATAAAGTTCAAGATATTTTTGGAGTTACGATTAAATTTTACAGGTTTTTCTTCTGTTTTGTTGGCATCATATATAACCTAATTATTGTGTCTTTATCTCTTCCATTGTTGGTCTAAATACGTAAATATAACTTAAGACCTCACTTAGCCATCGTTCGCTTCGCAGATTCGAGTTTTCAATTCGAG